ATAAAGAAAGAAACTAAGGAAAGTTTTAAAGAAGGAAGTGAAATAATAAATGTGGAGATAACTATAAAAATTAAAACTTTACAGAGACTGGAATGGTGGATTCCAGGCCTGACGTGTGGGGAAAATGGGAAGATATTGGTCAAAGTGTATAAACTCTCAGATATGAGATAAATAAGTTCTGAGAATCTAACGTAGAGCATAATGACTGTGGTTAATAATACTGTATTGTTTACTTGAAATTTGCTAAGAGAGTGAATCTTAAGTGTCCTGATTCCCCACACACAAAATGGTAACTATGTGTATGATGGATGTGCCAATTAACTTATTGTGGTTATCATTTCACAATGTATACATATATGAAATTATCACATTGTACACCTTGAATATATACAATTTTTATTTTTTAATTATACCTCAATAAAGCTAGAAAAAAATTAAAGCTTTAATAATGTTATAAGACATAAACTTACATTAAAATACTAGAATTTAAGACACCACAGAGAGAAAATTAGAATTTTCCAAAGCATTAAAATAAACTATGTTTAAGAAAAAGGGAATAAAAGTTTATAAAGCAATAAGATAAAAAATTAAAGCATGAAAATGAAAGATATTAAAGGTTAACAGTAAGAATAAAATATTAAAACTTGTAAAAAATCTATAACCATAAATGCAGATTAGTTTATAAAATGAGAACAAGAATTAAGAACAAGAAGCCAAGACAAAAATATAATACAAAAGCAATCAGAGCAAAGAGGTTTAAAAATATTTGAAAGAATATAAAAGGAAGAAGCTTTCACATTAGAGAGATAAATGGTAAAATAAAACAGTAATACAGAAAAGAACATTTAGATTAACACAAATCAAAGCAAGAAAATGTACAAAACGGTGCCAGGGTAATAAGCAAAAATAGTATTAAGAAAAGTGTATATACAAAATGTAATATAACAAAGAAATACTAAAATATCTGCATGATAATAGAATCTGGAAGGGAAGAACAATTATATCCATATCCCAGACTTTTGGAGTAATTTCTGCTGAGTTTAACACAGGTAATAATATTGGACTGATTGACATTCCTGGAAAAGGTAACTTAATTCAGAAGCATAGTTCCTACTTAATCCCAAGCATGGCTACAAATATGAAAAAGAATCTCTTTGGCACCAAGGCAAAGGTCAGTGCTGCAGCTGTTTCTAGACCACATCCTTCTATCCTCAGGCTGCAGGTACTTTAAAAGGCCAATAACATTGTAGTAAGCTTCTGTGCTCCTTATTTTTCTTTGTGTTTGAAAGAAATATTCAATAACCCACACACTATCTTAGAGTGTTCCTCCCCATTTCTCATATTAACTATGCCTACAGCCTCCTCTCAAAGAACATGAAAAGATGATTCAAAAAGGGAGATTAATGTGATGAATAGGAGGAGAGTTTTCATTAGGAAACAGCTACTGTAAGGAAGAGAATACAGTTTTAAAATTTAGTTTTCTACAAGATTCAAGGAACACTAACTCTAAAGCTACAGCCATTAATTCATGAAGAGGAGATAATCTGAAATCATTAAAAACTAAATGGTGGCTATAGTTATTGTCTGTAAATTAAAATCCATATGGACATGAATTGTAAACAACAGATTGAATATTGTAAAAAATGGAGTCAGTAATATAGACGTTAAATATTAAAAAAAATCCCTAAACTACAGCAAAAGACTAAAGAGAGTAGAGTACTGAGGTAAGTATTATAAGACCTAAAGGAAAATTCAAAAGAGCCAATAATTTTAACACATAAATTCTAAGACAGGAAACTAGGATAGGGATGAAACAATATCAGAGAAATCAGAGATGAAAATGTAACTCAGCTGATGAAATTTAAATTGAAAGGGCCCAAGAAGTACTAGTAAAAATTAACCCAAATAAACCAACTCATAGCTATGTTCTGGTAACAGGTTATAGATATATAAAAT